TCCCTACATGTTATACTGTGAAAATGTAACACACAGCAATTAAAATCCATCTTTCAGCTGGAAAATGATTTGTCTACTGTAGTTACCTGCAGCATCCAGTACTACTACATCAAGACTAGGAGAAAACCAAAAATAACAATAATAATAATTCTCTGCCAGTTCCTGCACTGTGTAACAGCAGAATGTTGGGAGCCTTTTCCTGCCAGTTTTCAAAAAACAGCTACGGCATGATAAAATCCTAGGTAAAAATAAGAGGATTACTATCAGCGATGCTAATGACAGGTAGGACAGCACTCCACAGAAAGAGTTACAAGTCTGGAAGCTTCATCATGCTAATTCTAAGGAACCTGCTGCTCAGTACTTTAGTGATTTCTCTTTCATTCACTTCTCTCAGCCTCACAAGAAAATTTAACAGAGAACCACATTCTCCCTCTTTCTCAAACAAACTAAGTTTGTTTCACAAAAATCGACTCTGTCTCTCTGCTGTGTGCTTTGGAAGACGAGGGATGCAACTGATATATTATACAGTTCTTCCAGGCTTCTTCTTTGCTTCCAAATGATTATTTAAATAACCTTTCTCTACAAAGGGCTATTTCATTTGGATTCTGGTTACTTGGGAGACTGCCTCTCCATTTTTCCCTCTGGCATATAAGCTCAATGCTCTGTAGAGCTAAGTATCAGTTTTCCCAAACCTGAAATCCCCTCCTTCAGTTGAGTTCAACAGAGAGAAAACTACTGACCACGAGTCAACACTCATTTTTCCTCCACTTGCACTTGCCTGAACGATAATGGATTTCAAATTGCAGTCAAAACGTTTTCTGTTTTGGAACCAATTACGTATTACTTCCGTTAATCAAAAGTTAAAAAAAAAAATTTACTAAATTATGCACAGCAATTGATCATTATTAATTAATAAAACTGAATAAACTGGAAAGAGTCATGCATTTTACAGAAGTGAAATCAGAGCTTCTGAAAGTGTCAGAAATTACACAGGGACAGCACACCCTACATGTTGCTGAAGTGAGCTGTAGAATCACAGAATGGTTTAGGTTGGAAGGGACCTCTGGAGATCATCTAGTCCAACACCCTTGCTCAAGCAGGGTCCGCTAGAGCACATTACCCAGGATCGCGTCCAGGCGGGTTTTGAATATCTCCAGCGAAGGAGACTCCACGACCTCTCTGGGCAACCTGTGCCAGTGCTCTGTCACCCTCACAGGAAAGAAGTTCTTCCTCATGTTCAGATGGAACTTCCTGTGGCTCAGTTTGTGCCCACTGCCTCTTGTCCTGTCACTGGGCACCACTGAGAAGAATCTGGCCCCATCCTCTTGACACCCTCCTTTCAGATACTTACACACATTGATGAGATTTCCCCCTCTCAGTCTTCTCTTCTCCAGGCACAACAGGCCCAGCTCTCGCAGCCTTTCTTCATAGGAGAGATGCTCCAGTCCCTTCATCATTTTAGTAGCCCTCCACTGGACTCTCTCCAGGGGCTCCGTGTCTCTCTTGTACTGAGGAGCCCAGAACTGGACAC